GAGAGTGAACCGAGAACATTCATACCATGACCCATCAATTGGTTTTGGAGATCAGCTAAATGTGGTTTTGAAGCATCAACAACACCTGAAAGAACACCACTAAGACCTGAAACAGCTGTTGAGATAACATTTTGAGCAGCTGAGACAGCAGCAGCCATTTGGCTTGTAATTTCTAAATAAGAAAATCAAAATCTCGTTCATTTTCATTCATTAAATATGACTATACATCTACTTACGACTCATGAAGTCACCAAGAAAACGTGATCCAGCTAATGAACCAACAACAGCTGATAAACCTTGGTTTAAGAGTGTTTGACCAATGGCAAGGAGTGGTGTTGTGATTTGACCAAGAAATTCAGTGAACATGGCTGAAATATCACCGAAGATACGACCTAGAATGTATGATAAGATTGTAGTGAATATATTGAAATAGAAATAGATGAGAATTTATACATACCACCCATGAGTCCTGAAAGACTACCCATAAGTTGATCAAGAAGACCTTGGGCGGCTGAAGCAAGGAGTGGTTGGAATTGGGCAAATATGGTACTGATGTCAAATCGACCGCCGATTGAAGCAAGAAGACCTGTGAGTTGACCGAGAGCTTGTGAAACAATGGTCGAGAGGTGAGCTTGAAGAATACTCATGGTTGATTGCATAACAACTTGTCCTTGTGATAAAAGTTGGTCCAACATTTGACCACGAGCATCGGTAGCCATTGAACCAGCAACACAGGCGAAGAAGATGAGTGCGATAGCAGCTTTCATTGTTTTTAATATGCTTTGAAATTGAATTAAAATGAAATAATTGGAGTGAATATGAAAAGCTATTTGCTGCACCTTTTATAGTTCGAATCAATACGTATTATCTTTCTAATATACATTATGAGAACACAACCATTTGCTTACAGCAAGTAAAACAACCACGCATCTTTTAACACGTGATTCGAACTTTAGAAGTCAGTTTAAATCTGATTCTATTGAAATATCTTGAGAGCGAACACATATGTTATAAAAAAATAACTGTTTGACTTAGATTTTAGTGAAAAGTAGTAGCGTACTGTTCTACTTTTAAGTCTTTTTTTCTATTCGAAAGTGCTAAACAAAAACATAGATGACACTACATGTAAAAATCGATAATATTTCTTATTTGTTGTTGATTATAACCATTGATGTATTTCTCATTGACAATTCAAAATTTTTTTGTCTTTAAATGTATATAACAAGATGATTATTGATGCTAGTCGTGGTGAAATTCAACTTGATGATCTTTTCAATGCAATTGAACATGATAAAGATCAAGTATAATTGATTGATTTTTGTTTTAATATATAAATAAATAAATAAATCCTTAGGTAACCCAAGCACTTAATATTTATGGAGATTATTTGAAAATTAAAAATGATAATTTGATCAATGGTGAAAAGAAAATTGAATTACTTGAACAAATTTTAAAACTTGAATGTATTGAAAAAACTAGTGATAATCATAATCATGAAAATGAACGATCAAGAATTAACCTAAAATGGACTGTATTAACAGAATGTGGAATTTGGTATCGAAAATTAGATTTATATGAAAAAGCTATTGGATATTTTGAAAAAGTTTCTTAAAATTTCAATATAAAAATACATAATTAATATTTATTCTTTAGGCAAATTCAATTAATAATCGAGTATCAACTATTTATTATGAAATGGGTATATGTTATCTTGAATTAGGAAATATTTATCAAGTAAAAATATGTTTTGAAAAAGTAATTTATTATATCAAAAATGCTTATTTATTAATTCTGATATTTGTTTCTAAATAGACTATTGAAATTGGTCATGAACATATTCATTGGAAATGTCTCGAACAAATTATTTATTTTTATTTTATTCTTGGAAATTTTTCAAGTAAGATCTATGTGTAAACGATTTAGAATTTATGATTAGATCTAGGCGTAGCAGAGATATATTCCGATTTGACAATAATTTTAATAGTTCGTAGTTTTACTGTGGGTATACTAAGTTTTGATATGAATAGTGAAAAACTAATATTGATTGTGTTCATTTACCGACAATCTCAGATAAAGAATTTGATAATTTGAGACTATTACAAACAAGTAGATATTAATGCTTCAGTAACTAACATTATAAATATAGTTTGTGATATTCGCTGTGATAAAAGTTCCGATCTCTGCCTTTATAGTCGTTGAAAGTTCTTGTATACATATTGCACAAAATTCCATCTAGATTGTGTAAACTATATTTCTTTTCACGTAAAGTTCAGAGATAAATTTTGATGAGAATTAAGTTATTGCAACACAAAACCTAGATTAGAATCGAATTTTGCAAGCTTTTATTTCATTTTTGAAACAAAAAGTCACAAAATTCTATTATAGTTTGAATTTTATTTCTCACTGATACTATTATAATTCTATTGATACTTAAGTAATCAAGATAAAGGTGTGTCCAAAGTTTCATACAGGTTTCTTTGAGGGTGTGGGTATGATTAGAAATAGGTTGTTATAAAATACACGCCCATCTTTCTTTTTTTAATGAAAAATTCAATAGAATGTTTAAAATTTGAGAGGAATAGGCTAATCGAACAATTGGTTATAGATTCTATACAATAAGATCAGTCCTCATTCGTAAAATCTTTGATTACATTTACTCTATATTCTAAAATCTTGTTAGAAATTTACGACATAAAATAATATCATTCACAAATATAACTAATATCAATAATCAAAAATTTAAAGCATATTAATTTCTGATGCAACACTATCTCGATTGCTCTGATTTCTTCAGTCCCAAAAATGAATGTAACATTCTTAAGACATTCATTTATCATATGCGAATGAATATTATAGAATTTCCTTTGAAAATTTTTCGATTATAAAAGAAATTCGTTTAATTTACTTAGTTTCTTTGTAGAATGTCTTGAATATATTCGTATTGGATATGATCGTGTTGCAGCATATCAATCAATATATGATTTTGGTCAATTATGTTTAGTTTTACTCGAAAAAACTCAACCATCAATGAAAATCTTAATTGAAAAAATGTTTAAAAATGAAATTGAATATATAATTTATGATGGAAATCTTTCAATGAAAATTAAAGATTTAGAAGGAAATATTAGAAAATTTAAAGAGAAATTATTAAAAAAGAAACATGTAATCATCGATAAAAAGCCATTAGATGAACAAATAGAAATTGAAAAGTAATTATACGAAGAAAAAATAATATATATTTTTAAAGAAACCGATTGCTTTAGTTTTCAAGATTTTGGTCAATATTTATCAAAGAAAATACGAGAATATCATAATGATAATTCGGTAAAATATTGTTGAAAAAAAAACATAAACTCAACTGAATATTTTTTTTTGCAGAAACTTTGTCAAATAATTGATGTGAAAAACTATTTACCAAAAGAAAATATCGTTACAGAACAGCCTGAACAAGAAGAACCAATGCAACAAGAACCAATTGTACCTGAAGAACAACCACCTCCACCAACGAATAATCGAAAAAAACGTTCTTTATTACCATTAAATATTGATGATTATGAAAAACGACGATCTGCAAGAAGTGTATGTCAATCATAATCATTTGTTCTATCATAAAGAAATCTTCATATTTCTTTTAGATTACTCGTAATATATCCGATGATAATAATATTAGTACAGTAGATAAATTACGACGAATATTATCCACTAGTGATGATGGGTATTGATCTTTTAAAATTAATATTTTCATATTATGATCATTTTCTTTTTATTGATTAGTTCGGATGATGAAGCAGACGAAACAGTGACTTCACCGGATAATATTGATGATGGTTGAATTCACATTTATTTTGAAAAATTATAGATAAATATTTATTTTTAGAAACCACTTCAGCAGTAATATCAGATTTACCAAAAGAAAATTTTCCATTACTTCAAATTGAATATAAACCATTTATTGAATTAATTGAACAGAAAAATAATAATGGATATCAATATCATTATATTGATCTTATATGTGATTACATAAATGAACTTACAAAACATTCGTCTACACTTTGGTTAGTTTTTTTTACAATAGAATGTCTCTTCATCAGAAATTAAAGGTTCCGAAATGAAATGGTTTACTCGACAGAGTAAGACATCATTAATTAGTGAATATCGATCGAGCTATATGAGTAGTCTCTATACCTCGGGTGTGGTGTTAAATATCGAAAGGGAAAATGTCGAAAAGAAAAGAAGGAAAATACCGTAATGGAAAAGTATGTAGTATAAAGGCCGAAAAGACTGACGTCGAATAGAATACATAATCAGTAGGAAAAAGTAGAAAGGAAAATGTAGACAGACAAAATATCGAAAGTGAAGTTTTTAATTTTTCTTTTAATATGACACGATAGGTATAGGTGAGTGTGTTGTAGGTGCGGAGAGAGTCCAGGTGCTTAATAAAGGAAGAGATTCCCACACCCACACCTTTAATATATGTATAACTTATAAAAATTAGCTTTGGAAGGATTTTCCGATCCAAAGATATGTATGTTTCAATTTTATGAAGTCAAATCGCTAATCAATGATCTTGTACTATCATTATAAAGAAAACTTCTTCTGACTTGTTAATTTCTCAGGACTGAAAACGCAATATGATTTGCAATTTTACTACTTCCTATATTAAAAGAGATCTTGCATAAAGTCGTTAACATATCTACAGGATGATTGTAGATGAGAGTATTGTCAACATCATCTCACACCCACACCCTTATTTATCAATCAGTACTAAATATTTATATTCTGCTAAATTTATTCAATATATATTTATAGGTCAACTGAAATGCGAATGATATTTACCAAACTCTTCGATTGTCTTATCGATCATGTACAATATCCAATGAGTATGTATTAATTAATACTTAACAATACTTAATCTATAAAATATTTATATTAGATGATATCGAAGAAAATCATTTACAAGCATGTTTATGTTACGTTGAAAATGCTCTTGGATCATTAAAATCTGATTTATCTGAAGATTCAATTGAACGGTAAAAATTAATTTTCTATATTTTCTATTATTAAATTTATTCTTTATTATAGATTTAGTTATTTTGCTCGTTTAAAAATAAAATATAAATCACTTGGTTATTGTTTTGCACGTTTGCAATTCTTTTTATATCGTTTTAAAAATAGTTCTATTCAACAAAATCAATATGAAATTGATCAAAAAATTTATCGAAGTAAAAATTTATATTTAAGTATAATCAATAATTCTTTATTCGATTTCTCTAGTTCTATGGATTTCATCACTTTATTATTTTTTATCCGATGTTCAAAACGATGCACTAGCTTGTATTTATCAATTGCAACATTTATTACCAGATGAAATCACTCTTATTTTACCAAATTTATTCAATCATACAACGATTTCTAAAAGTATGAGATAATTTTTTAATTAATAGAAAAATAAAAATATATTTTTTGTTGTTATTTTATTTAAGGTACAATTGAAACACTTTATTTACGTTTAAAAAATAATAATGAAATATCATCTGAACAAACATCAAATTCTTCATCTTCACAAGAATTAACGTATATTTTATCACGTATTGCTGTTGCTGATGAAAAAGATGAATTAGTATTATTAATAAAAAAATTGGAGAAAAAAATCAAATTATTTTATGCAAATTTATCAACACAAATACATTTACAACAAAAATCTTTAATTAAATGTTATGAAACACTTGTTAATGTACTTAAAGAAAATCAACATTTAGATGAAAAAGAAAATATTAATGTTCGAAAAATATTTGATCAAATTTTTATTCAAATTATTCATATGATTATTAAGTAAGATATATTTCTATTAGAAATAAATCGAATGATATCGTTAGACTCTCATCTATGTAGGAGATATAATATATAAGAAAATAGTGTAATATCGGTTTAAAAGATTTATACGTCTACGTGGAATCGGTATTTACAGTAGTTCTATGAATTGTATGAGAAGTTTTGGAGAGATAATCGATAGGGATTCCCGAATTTCATCGATAAGATTTTTGCCAACCAGCACTTTCGCCAATACACCTTATGGAATTTCTCTAATTGAAGAAAGCTCAGTGCACTTACACCAACATATTTATAGAAAATTCTCCAGTATCGTTATGTGATTACATATGCATAAAAATAGCTCCGGTTAACTATACTAAGGGGTTTAGACTACAATATACTTGTTTTGATAATATTAGGTTAATTTGCCACACGCATTTTACACTAATTTTGTGTTAATATAGTTGGCGAAAATCCACTAGACTTACGCCTAATCGCGCCTGAACTTTCGCTAATAGACTCCGATACTTTCGCCAATGGCGAATGCCCTATTGGCAAAGGGGTAGTAAGCCCTGCCAGTAGCGGATTTAGGAGTGGGCGGCGGGGGCGATCGCTCCCCTTCGGAAATTTTTTTGATTTTTTACAGCAAAAATGAACGAAGTAATAGGTTCACACTAGTTCGATTGGACCCAAAAATAGTTTTTAGTCGAAATCGCCCCCCCCCCTACTCAGAAATCGACCCTCTCTACGAAAGTCCTAGATCCGCCACTGAGCCCTATAATCACAGATTCACCTACCCTTCAATTCGATGTATAAGTATAATATTTAAAACATTTAATTTTCTTCTAGAATTTTGGACGGAGATTCTCAATGGCGAGATACATCATTAAAACTAATTGAAAAATTAACTTTAAGTTTAATTGATTCAATAATGAAACGAGATTCATCAGAAACTATATGGCAATTTAAATCTATCAATCCATGGATATTACTTTATCGTGTGACAATGAAGTTTGTAATTTTGCTGTATTATTTAATCTTATCTTTATTTTATTTCAATAGACGTGATTCGAAAAAAAATGAACAATTTCTTCTATCATATGTCAGAACAGTTCATGAATTATTTGGAAAGTATGTTATTTTGATTTTAGAAACATTTAAGAAATTATCTTGATTTTTTCATTAATCATAGACATGAAAATTGTTTAATTGATAATGGTAGTTTACTTGAATATTTTCTTATTGAACTTATTCAAATTGAACATCCTAATATTCGAAAAATTTTATTATCTAATGAAATTATTCAAAATAATTCATCAGATACTTCAAATGAATCCAGTGAACAAAAAAGTAAATTATCAAAAGTTATTGATGAAATCGAACAATGCATTTACTGTTTATATGGTCTTGTATTACGTAAATCAAAAATGAAATATTTAAATGATCATAATTGTCGATCGGTATTGACTTTTTTCTTGACGAATTATTTCCTTAATCTTGATTCGATTTTTTTCGCATAGCTTGAACTAACATTAGAAAAAGCAAGTATTGTATTCTATGCTTTACGACCAAAACAATTACCTGGTTATGAAGGTCGTGTTTGTACAATAACAAATGAAGTAAAGAAAATCTCTTGATAATTGAAAAACTAATGAAAATTTTTTATTATTTAGACCGAAAGTCTTTTTCAAAGATTTGAATCAATGATTGGATGGGATGATGAACGTGAACATCGACGAAAACTTCTTGTAACTTATATATCTGATGCAACATCGATTAATAGTCAAGGAAAACAAAGCGATGAACTTACACATTTATCTGATAAACCATTTAAATCAAATAATGCGTAAATTTTAGTTCTTTTGAAATAATTCATTTTTCTTTATAATAAATTTTATTCTAGTTTATTTGAAAAAGATTTATATTATCTTTTTGCTGATTATCATCTTAAAATGGGTTCAAAAGATACAACAACAAATGATTCATCAAACAAGTAATATAAATAACGATTTCTTTTTTTTTCTAAATTTTTTCAATTGAATAGAAAAGCACAAGAATATTATACAAAAGATTTATGTATGAATACAAGACGATTTGATTCATGGGCAGGTTTAACGGTTATCGAATTTGCTAAAATAGAAGAATTTATTACAGTAAGTTTTTCATGAAGTGTTAAGAATGAAAATTTGAAGAGAAAAGAAAGTATATTACTATACGAGTGACCTGACGAGATTCAACTCTTAGAAATTAAATCGAGTATAGGTCACAGAACAAAAGACGATAATGTACTGAAACATTTGTTTCGACTAGATATATCGATTTGACTTATATTAACGAGACGCGACTACCAATCAGATTTGCTGAAAAACTATACCAATCTAGATTTCATTACATCTTAGTGGAGAGAATTTTACCAATGTATATCGTCAGACTTTTGTGGTTAGTAGACATTCGTATTTAAGACATGTTCACTTGATTTTTATGAAGTAGGAGCATTTATAAGTATCGAAACTCGTCGGAAAATATTCCATAGGCTTCTTATGACATATATATTTTTGTTTCTTCTTTAGGCTGATGATTTTGATCCGCGTATCTTCAATGTACATATGTCTGCTTCATGTTATTTTCGACAGGCTGTTTCTGTTGATAGTAATAATCATACATTATGGATGGAATATGCTGAAATTACTTATATTTTACAATCATATTGTTCCAAATATGTACGGATAATTTTACTATAAAATAGTTCTTTATTGTCTTTAATGTTTATTTTAGAAAGATAAAGCAACTGATTATGTTCCTGATCGATCATTTTTGTTAAATATATGTAAAGAAGCATATGAAAAAGCGAATATATGTACAGATAATGATGATAATAAAGAAGATTGGACTTATTTATATATGATGGCTAAAATTGAAGAAAAATTACATCGAAATAAATTATTTGATTCATTAAAAAAATATGCCTCTGTAAAAAAAATATATCTTCTTCTTTTTTTCTTTTATCAAAAACTTGTTATTGTATTTAGGCTCTTGATCTTTTACATGAAAATAAAGCAGTTTATCCTCGTAAACTTGGTCATCATACATCAACATCAAATTCAAAGGGTACTTTACTTGGTTGTCATAGTGTTGAAGTAAATCAAAAATTTTTTTCTCTTTTGTATTAAAAGATAAATTTTTATAATTTATTTTCAAGATGTTTTATCGAATTCATGCATCAGCTCTTAAATATTTAAATCGTCATAATAAAGAGTCAGTAGATTTTACAATGGATAAACTTAATGAACTTCATGAATTTTTAACGGAAATGCAAACTAAACCATTTGCAACTAGTTATTATGAAAAATCAACTATGTAAGTTGTTCAATTAGAGAATTATATACTGTAGGACTAAAAATCGAAATAGAGATTATTGAAATAAAATTAGTAAACCCTGACAGAACAGAAACCCATCCTGTCTGATCTGATCGAAAGACACACATGTGTATACATACGTCCTTAGCTGGAAGATGAGATTGTTCACAATAGTGAATGATGGGCGCTGCAAATTATTGAACGCTTATCATATTTAAGAATGAAAATTAGCGTTAGCAAGTACAATATCGATTATTATATTTTCAAGTTTCTCCTTAATTTCCCCAGAGTCCAACAGTTTGCCAAATATAATATCAAAATGAGCGAAGCTTTAGAGATAAACGAGAATGCGAATGTAAAGAACTGGTTGCGTTATCAGTTCGATTTTATGAGATTGTAAAAGTCTTGATAGTCAATATCTGTTTCCTTGGAAATTATTGTTCCTAATCAAATTCATATTTCAATCTATATATTTTTCTAGTCCACCAGATTCTCATTCTGCTCAATTAATCAATGATCTATATTTTCCTCATAAAACAGGTAAGAATATTTTATTTTTAAATTCATTAAAAATTAAATCTATTCTATTAAGATCTTCTAACTGATCCTTGGTTAATTCTATATAATAAATGTATATGGCTATGTATTGAAGGTCTTTATATATGTATTGCTCGTTATAATCGACATTACCGTGGACTTTATCGTCTTGCACATTTTTTTCATACAAATGAATATTATCGAAATGATCGACTTAGTTTAGAATTTTTACTTGGTGGAAATGTACTTGAATTAAGAAATTATCCAAAAATTATTGGACTTTATCAAGAACGTTCAAAACATAATTTATTTAATGTAAATTTTAAAATATATATGAAATATAAAATTCTAATTAATATAAATAGGGCATCTGGCGTATTCAACCATTAGATGCTGATCGTACTGGTTCATTTAATGCTGCAATGTATAAATCAACTCGTTTATTTATTGATCTTCTTGTTCAATTTGATGAACATTTATTAGTATTATTTGAAGTACTTCGGCAATTATTAGATAAACCAGATCTTGATAAGTAAAGAAATAGATTTTATTTCAAGATAAAATATTATTTTTTTGTTTTATTTAGAAAATATGTTCGTGAAGTTGAAAGAAAAATGTTATGTCAACATACAATTAAATATTTTTTTCGAACTATTAAAAAAAAGGTTTGTTTTTTTCTATGGATTGTTTTTCTTTTAATTATTTTTCGAAAATTTTAGGTTCTACTTAAAACACGTGATGATATCGAACGTGAAGGTATGAAAATAATATCAGAAATTGACGATAAAGATACAACGAATGTTTCCTTACCAATTCTATTTGAAATATCTATTAAATTATATAATTTAATTAAAAATTATCCGAATCTTTATCAAAATTCGCGTATTGATGAATTAGTGGAATTGACATTTCAACGTTATCGACCAATTCTTAAAGTAAACATATATATATGATTATACTAGTATCGTTATTTTGAATTTTTTAGTTTTCAAATCATCTACCAGAAAAACCCAAAGCAGAAAACTTAACTTTGATATATACACCAAAAAAACAAAAACAAAAGGTAATATGAATATCTATACCATTTACTGAGGGTGTGAGTTTTGCCATCATTTCACACCCATACCCTCACCCACCTCTCTTATTAGAATGTACTGTAATTATCTTTAAATAATTTAGAAACGTCCAACAACCAATGAGCAACCACCTGCAAATAAACGTCAATGTGTTGAACCATCACCATCATCATCTTCTCAAGATTTTCTAGGACTTGCTTCATTTATTTCTAATGATTCTGTCATAATTAATGAATAAATAAATCAGATACTTATGCTTTTTTTTCTATGAATTATTCAAGAAAATTTTGTTATATTTTATACAAACAAATTTATTGTCTTTCAGAAAAAATGAGCAGTAAACGACGATTAAAACGATATATACCGAATTTGAGTGAACTTGAATATGATTTACAATGTGAATGGGGTGCAGAATGCCGTGTTCGTTTGAATGATCTCAAAGAATTTTATAAACATTTGGATGAACATCTTTCGACTTATATTAATCAATATCAACAAACACCACGTAAAAAAAAACAAAGAATAATAATTTTATATATTGTTTTTGTTTTTTTTGTTAAATAGATTTAGCCTGTCAATGGCGTAATTGTGGTCATGTAGAAGAATTTGATATTTCATCATTTATTCGTCATGTACAATTTCATGGTTTTCATACAAAATTAAAATATCTTGGAATGAAAACATATGAACATAATCATCCAAATATTCCTCTATGTCAAAAATCTAGTGAAAATCGAAATATTATTCCAGATTTACCCGTCGAATTTCGTTGTTCATGGGGAGATTGTCAAGTAATTCAATTTCTCTTGAAATATATAATAATGTTTTTAAATTTCTCTTTCATAGTATACCAATAGTCATGCTCAATTATTCTATGAACATGTTAATCAACATGCTGGTTCAGATATATGCCGTTGGACAGGTAAAATTAAAAGTTATTTTCTTATCAACATTGACAATAATGAAAGAATCTTTCAAATTCATATCCGTTGATTGACAGAAGCAGTTATTTTAGATTACGAAAACAAGCGGAAGAAACGCTTATAATTTTTGAACGGAAATTCATAGCAACATGCGGTTTTTACAATTCAATAGAGAACAGCCCGGGGGGTAAAAATCGATGTGTCAAACTGGTTTCCGAAATCATTTTTTCAGACCTGGATTATTTAAGAATTCCGATAGTAGCAAATATACATATTTTCCAGATAATTTTAACGACTATTCTACAATAACTAACTTATACTTCGACTCTATTAACAAATCTTTATATGAATAAGAATCGATGGATGATTGAGATCAACTAATATATATTTTTTACATAAATCTCTAGAGTATTCTAAAAGCTGTCTAATCGAAACAATTACATTTGATCAATAATCCGTGTGAGATAGAAAATTAAATAATTCTCTGTCAGACTACAACCGATAAAATATAAGAAAAAAAATTGAAACTCCTAGTTGTGACACAACAATTTTGAATTCAACAGACTCTCTTTGATAATCCTTTATCAAACTTTAATTTTTCAATATTTCAAGGTTGTACTCACCGTCCGGATAAAGCATATCGAATTCGTGAACATATTCGACGACATACTCAAGAAAAAACGATAGCATGTCCACGTTGTGGATCCTTATTTTCTTGTGGAGTTAAATTTATTGAACATTGTCAATTATCTACCGAAGGTATTGAATATACATCTTTTTCTTTTCAATATCATTCTTTTTATTTTAACATTATAGTCTCACCAAATTTTCAATGTGAAAAATGTGCACAACAATTTCAATCTAAATCTCTTCTTCAAAAACATTTGAATAAACATGGTAGTAGAAAAATTTTATTTCTAAAATCAAAAAATTCTCACGAAAATAATATTCTTTTAGAAACAAAACATGCATGTCCATATTGTACACAAATATTTTCTACTCCATCTGGTGTTAAACGACATATTATTTATCGACATACAGATATAAAATATTTTCAATGTCCCGATTGCTCACTTTCGTATTTATTTTTCATTATTTCATTTCTATTACAACTCCTATATTTTTATAGTTTCAAATGTGCAAATAGTTTAACAGTACATCGTCGTCGTTTGCATTTACTTCCATTACTCGATAAAATCAATGATGATGATGATGATGATGATGTGAAAGAACAAACTACTGATGTGAATGATAAACAAGAAGTAAATAAATTCTTTTTTAATAGGAAGAAAAATTCCAAAATTTATATTTAGCGTCAATGTAAATATGCATGTCATTTATGTGAACGACGTTTTCCACGTGGAAAAAAACTAACAACACATTTACTTAAAGCACATCAGCTGGGAAAAGCTATGGGATGTACTCGAGTAAGGTTAGTAAAAAAATCGTGTATACAAAATATTTACTCTGATATATATATATATATATATATAATGCATATTGCACTTTGAAATGACAAACTTAACCATTCATTTATTTTCTCATAAGATAAATCTAGTATTATTCTTTTGATAAAATAATTTATTCAAGATGTAGGTGACAATAGTGATAAGACCCACGCCCCTTATTATTTAATCTTTTCATGTTTTATATGTATCTTGTATTTTTTTAGTTACACCCTGCGAACTGATGGTTTATTTCGTGTACGAAGTGAACTTGTTTCCACATCATTATCATCTGACTTTTCTCTACAACAACAACAGCAGCAACAACAGCAACAAACAAGTTTACCATCAACATCTCAACATCTACCTCAAACGACATGTGCATCATTTCTTATTAATCGTTTACTAAATGATCGTGAAGATGGAAATCAACAAGCACCATTTAGTCCTGAATTTGAACTTGATAATTGGAATGAAAATGAAACAGACAATACTGATCGTAATAATGATGATGATGATGACGATGATGATATTGATGATGATAATGATAGTGATGATATTACAGATTATATTGATTTATGTTCAAAAAGAGCAATACAATCTTCAGATATTTTATAAAGGCTTTGTAAAGAAATTGTATGATTGTTTCATTTGTTTGCAAAATATAGATAATAAATAAAGTCAATTTAGACTTTTGTGATTAAAATTCAGTCTATCTTTAAACATCGATTAGCAAGAAAGATTAAAGATTTTAATCGAAGAGTACAAATAATCATGTATGGCATACAATATTAACATATGTATTGGGAATATAATTAATAATTCGGATAAAACTTTCTTAGTAAAATAGTATTATAATTGTCGAATCAACATAGGCTACAAGAACTTTGTATTGAAATGATGAGGTGTTTGCTAAAATTGATAAGAATGTTGTGAATACCTTTCAACGATTCTTCCAAGATGTTTTGGAAGACGCAATATCCAAAAATGCATCAATTCATAAACATTTCTACTCTTTTCATAGTTTGATACTAGGCATATGATTAGATAGATAAAACAAAGAAGTGTTATTTTTTAATGTCAACAATGATCAATGATTTTTTATTGACATGCATTCAAAACCCACCATTCATGGGCAATAAATTATGATTATAATAAAGAAATTAGATTAAAAGGAAAAAAACATCGCTTTCAATTCACCACTTATTGTCCACCGACGAGTGAACCATGAAGGTTGTTGACGGTTTCAGAGAGTGAACCGAG